TGGATTTCTCCTGCAAAGGCACCAGTGTGAACATCTTCCCTGCAGGATGGGGGCCCCCGAGGAGCAGGCTTTATAATGGCAGCGAAACAACTTCTCCACAGCCCTACAACAGGGCACACCTCCCAGGCCTTTTCAGGGAGTCGGGCCTCCTTGTTCCATTCTAAACACACTTTCCTCCTCAAAATTCTCTTTGGGTCCTCCCTGGTGGCACAGAGGTTATGTCTCAGCACTATTACCTCCATTGCTTAAGTTCTAGCCCCAGCCAGGGAGCTAACCCACACATATTGCAGGAGACTCTCCTGTCTTGCCCGCTGCTCCCCTTAGCAAGTGTATTTCTTTTTCTAATTATATCGGTATGTGTGTGTTTACATCATTGTTCACTTTTGTACAATTTTGCTTTCTTCTTTAGGTGTATTCTCCGTAAAATTTCCACCACCAATGAGCCCATGAACCATTATTATAGTCCCTTGTGCTCTTCTCTTCTGTTTTGATCCTTCATCCTCCACTTCCCTTGCAGAATGTCTCTGATTTATGGTTGCCTGCTTATTTATTTATTAATTTATTTATTATTGTTATTATTTTTCCTGATCCCTTATTTGGTTCCCCAACATTCCTCCTATATCAAGTGAAACCATCTGATATTTTTCTTTTCCCTTTTGGATTACTTCACTGAGAATGATCCCTTCCAGCTCCATCCATGTTGCTGTGAAGGGCATGACTTTATCTTTTTTGACTGGAGAATAGCAGTCCATTGTGGATATATACCACGTCTTCCTCTGGCACTTATCTATTTTGGGGCATTTGGGTTGTTTCCATATCTTACCTATTGTAAATTGTGCTGCAATAAACATAGGGGTGTCGTTGTCCTTTTCAATTATTATTTTTGTGTCCGTTGGGTGGAGTCCTAGGAGTGGAATAGCTGGGACCTATGGAAGCTCCATTTTCAGTAGTCTGAGGAACCTCCACACAGCTCTCCATTGTGGTTGGACCCATTTGAGCTCCTTTTTCAACACATCCTCACTAACTTTGTTCTTGCCTGTGTGACATTCTTGCAGGTGTGAGGTGTTATCTCATTGTGGTTTTGACTTGCAGTTCTGTGATTGTAAGTGATGTTGAATATTTTTTCATATATCTGTTGTCTGGCTGTTTGCATTTCCTCTTTGGAGAAGTGTCTTTTAGCTTTTCTGTCCATTTTTGGACTGGATTGTTTACTTTGTTTTTGTTGAGATGTGTGAGCTTTTTGTAGATCTTTGTGATCAATCCCTTATCAGTTGTATTGTATGTAAAATTTTCTTCCCAATTAGTAGTGTCTCTTTGTTTTGATCTATGTCTCTTTTGCTGTACAGAAGAATTTTAGTTTGATGTAGTCACAGCTGTTTTATCTTTTCCTTCACTTTCTTTGCTTTGGGGGATGTGTCTTTAAAGATGTTACTGAGATATATATCATGTAGTGTTTTGTTGATATATTCTTCTATATATTTTATCATTTCAGATCTTATGTTCAATTATTTTATCTATTTTGAATTGGTTTTTGTGCATGGTATGAATCAGTAGTCTAGCTTCATTCTTTTGCAAGTAGCAGTCCAGTTTTCCCAGAACAATTTTTGTAAAGATTTGTTTATTTATGCATACAGAACTATGTAGAGGCAGAGGTGCAGGGGCAGTGAAAGGATTCACCAGACACAGAGTGGGGAGCACAACAGGTAGACTGAAGAACTACACTGCTGAAGGAGCAGCAGGCGCGACAGGAGAGGTCTGCTGTGCCATGTGGGTCACCACCCTAGCCGGGAATTGAGCTCTCTGTGAAGCAGCTGCTGCTAGCTTCATAGTGCTGCACTTTAACCTACTGTGCCACCAGGGAGGGCCCTCCCAGCATCACCATACATTGAACTAACTGACATTGTTCCCTTGCATATTCTTTGCTACTTTGTCAAAGATTAGTTGTCAATTGTCAATTCCATTGGCCAGTGTATCTGTTTTTGTTCCAGTACCATACTGTTTTAATAATTATGGCTTTGGGGGCACCCTGGTGTCATAAGAGATTAAATCTCAGCACGATGAAACTATAGACAGCCACTGCAGCACAAGTTTGATCCCTGGCCAGGGAGCTGACCCACATGGCATGGCAGACCTCTCCTTTCTCTGCCACTGCTCCCTGCAGCACTCAATCTGCCTGTCCTGCTTCCTACTATGTCTCTGGTAGATCCTCTCACCTCCCACACCTCTGGCCTACACCCTAGCTCTTGTATGTATAAATAAAACTAAATCTTAAAAAAATAATTATTATGGCTTTGTAGAACAGCTTGAAGTCTGGACGTGTGATGTGTGATATCTCCAATCTCTCTCTCTTTTTTTTTTTTTTTAAGATTTATTTATTTGTGCATACAGAACTGGGGTACAGGCCAGAGGCTCAGGGGCGGTGAGAGGCTTCACCAGAGACAGAGCGGGGAGCAGAACAGGCAGATCTACGAAGTACACTGCTGAGGGGAGCAGCGGGTCGGTCAGGAGAGGTCTGCCTCGCCATGTGGTCACCTCCGGGGCAGGCGGGAATCGAACTCATGCGGAGGTGGCTTTGGTTTCTCAGTGCTGTGCTTTAACCCGCTGTGCCACCAGGGAGGGCCCCCCAATCTCTCTTTTAAGTCAGGACAGCTTTGGGTATTTGAATTTTTTTGTGGCTCCATATGAATTCATATATATTTCATCAATATTTGTTCTATTTCGTTGAAGAATGTCATTGACATTTTTATCAGAATAGCATTGAATCTATAAATTTCTTTTAGTAGGATAGCCATTTTGATAATGTTAATTCTTCCAATCCAAGAGCAAGGGATATCTTTCTATTTCTTTGTGTCTTCTTTTTAAAATATTTACTTCTTTATGTATATAAGAGTAGGGTGTAGTCTAGAGGTGCGGGGATGTTGGTGGTGAGGATTTACCAGAGACAGATTGGGGAGCAAAACAGGCAGATCTACTGAAATACACTGCTGAGGGGAGCAACAGGTGTGACAGGAGGGGTCTTTGCCATGTGGGTCAGCCCCCTGGCCGGGGATCAAACTTGGGCTAATGTGACTGTGGATTGCTTCATAATGCTTATCCTTAACCCCTTACACCACCAGGCAGGCCTCTTCTTTTCCTTTTTTTTTTTTTTTTAACTTTTTTCCTCTCGGGACCTCCCTGGTGGCACAAGGGGTTAAAGCAGAGCACTGTGACTAGAAGCAGTCACTTCTTGAGTTCGTTCCCCTCAGCAGTGTACTTCTTAGTGGGGTGCCTGTTCTGTACCCCACTATCTCTGGTGAATCCTCTCACGGTCCCTGCACCTCTGGCCTGTAGCCCAGTTCCGTATGTATAAATAAATAAATCTTTAAACAAAAACAAAATATTTTCCTCTCATGTCCATGTATCCTTGTAAGGTGGCTTAAAGGCATGACTTCAGAACCCCAAGGGAAGTTTCTGGGTGACAATATTCTGCTCCAAAGCTTGGCTATCCTGGAAAAATAAAGAACAGGTATTTCTTCTCATAGGGGCAACATGAAATGTTGCTTCTACTGAAATGGCTTTACTGCTTGCTTGTGGTGACATACTGTAACTAAGCCAGGGTCATGATGAATCACCCAGTAGCAGGGAAGGTGACTTTGCTCCCTAACCCTTTTCCCAGATCTAAGGTGTGTAAGATGTGTCCAGAAGAGGTATGTCATTTGTGTGTTGAAACCATAACTCAGGGCCAACTGATTTTACTATGATGTCTACCTCCACCATTCTTTTTTGTTTTTCAAGATTTTTTTATGCATACAGGAGGTGTGTATGTGTGTGTGAGAGAGAGAGAGAGAGGGAGAGAGAGAGAAAGAGAGAGAGAGAGAATTCACCAGAGACAGAGTCCGGGAGAAGACGGTCAGATCTACTGAAATACACTACTGAGGGGAGATAGGAGAGGCCTGCTGTACCATGTAGGTCAGTTCCCTGGCCTGTGATAGAACTGGTGCCACAGTGGCTGCAGATAGCTTCATAGTGCTGCACTTTAATGGATTTGCCACCATGGAGGGCCAGCTACTTGGCAGATTTCAACACCTGGAGACTGTTAAAACTTTACACAAAGTAGCAACAGACTCAGTTGCCACAAGGAACGTGTACACTGGCAGGTCTGTGCAATGTAAATAGGGACAGTGACCCCATCAAGGAGCTGCCAGCGGGAATAGCTATATAGCTGTGGGGTGCAGAACACAGAGATAGAAATAAATGATCATGATGGCAGGGAGGGACAGCACACCACCAAGGGTTTAGATCTGGGTTGATCACTTAAAAGCGATACTTTTTGCTGGCATACTCCATTCCCTTTGGCCTGACTGCCCTCCTCCACCGCACAGTCAATATTCAGCCACCACAGATTAGATTAGGGGGCCCTGTTCAGTGTTCCTAATAGCCCCCCATACCTCCCTCATTAGAGCACTTGTCATTCTTTTCTCATCTACTGTTTCCTGGCTCCTCCCACAGGCCTGTGAATTCGATAAGGCAGAGCCCTTGATTACCTTTGCACCTGCCAGGCAAATATGCTGTCAATTCGCGTGAATCAGTGAAAACAAATTGCCCACCTGGGGAGAATCTGGAGAAACCATCAGAAAAAGATACCAGCATCTCTGGGAGCTCAGGCCCTGGGGTCACATCATCCACTCTACTCCAATTCTGTCTCGGAGTCATTGCCTAAAAGTCCTGGGTCTTCCAGAACTTGAAGCCCTTTGGGGCAAAGAAACCCCAGATCAACAGCGCATATACAAGCCCCTGGGGACCGCTAGTTGAGGGCCCCCGCTCCCTCCGCCCCCTCCGCCCTCTAGCCTCTACTCCAACCTCTGCAGTCCCTGCCTTCGCCAGGCGGCGACGCCCAAGAGTCCGCATGCGCAGTGCGTGCACGAGTGGTCCCCTTGCCCTTCTCCCAATGGCGGGCGTCAGTCCCCTTCCCGGCACCCTCTCGGGCAGGGGGCGCGTCATTTCCGGTGGGGAAGGCCCGCGGCCGCCGCCGCCATTTCGGGCGCTGCTGTGAGACTGAGACCCGAGCCGGTCCGCTGGGCGGCGGGCGCCGGGGCTGGAGGGGCGCGCGCGGCGGCGGCCCAGCGTGTAGGCGCCGAGGCGGCCATGGCGGGCAACTTCGACTCGGAGGAGCGGAGTAGCTGGTACTGGGGGCGGTTGAGCCGGCAGGAGGCGGTGGCGCTGTTGCAGGGCCAGCGGCACGGGGTGTTCCTGGTGCGGGACTCGAGCACCAGCCCCGGGGACTATGTGCTCAGCGTCTCCGAGAACTCGCGGGTCTCCCACTACATCATCAACAGCAGCGGCCCGCGCCCGCCGGTGCCACCGTCGCCCGCCCAGCCTCCGCCGGGTGAGGGACGGACGGGGCGGGAGGCCACGGGCGGGGGTGAGGGCCGCGGAACTGCCCTGCCTAGCCGGCTGCTCCTTGCAGGCTGACTCCCGCGAGGGGCGTGGGCAGAGGCTGCGGTGACCGTGGCAGGGGGGAGCCTGTTGCCAGGACCCGTTGCCCACCGTCTAGCGAGAGCATGTGGGGGAGGAGGAGCCGTGGACCGAGGCCTCTGGGTGTGACTTGGGAGGACAGCCCAGGGGAAGGGGAACTGCTTCGGCCCCAGGGTGGGGCTAGCGTCCCGGCCGGGCACATGGGCAGGGCCAGGCAACGTGGGGACAAAGAATTGAGGGGGATGTTGGCACTGCGGGGGCATCACTTGGCAGCGGTGCCCAGAATGAATCCGATAATCCTACAAGTGGCTTTTAGACTGGAAACATTTCCTGCAGTGTTAGAGAGCCGGCTTTGGCTATACTCCCCTGGTGGCCTTCGGTAGGAAGTCACCACATACTGGCTGGGAGGGATGGAGACACCCTCAGGAAGCCGGTCAGCTTTTTCCTTTCTTGGGCATTTTTCCAAAATACTTTACCGTTCTCTTCCCCTGCGGAGAACGAAGGTGATGAGCTAAGTGCCTTCATGAAAGAAGAAAGCCTTCTATGGCCAGCTCAGAATAAATTGATGTCCGGTGTGGCAAAGAAATTTTACCGTGCTGGGACTGTCCCCCACAATTAGGGGGGTTCTAGTTTAAATGCTCAGTGGAGGAGAGATTTTTTTCAGGGACTAAACAGATGGAAACAACCCCTTTCCTAGCAGTGAATGGAACTTCATTTTTCCTTGGACTTTACCATTGTTAGTCTTGTTCTTCAGGAGCCTCTCTTGCATATTAGTTGGTCTGTGGCCTGAGCACTCCTAAATATGGGGAAACATATCCTGCTGGGCAGATTTTCTGAGAATTTAAATTGTCTGCCCTGCGGTCATTGAAGATAGGACTGTTTTAGCCATGCTGATGGGTTTGTTTGGGAAATGTTGAGATTTATGCACTTAGTTCTTGAGACTGGTGAGGTACCCAGTAATTCTGAGGTTACCTTTATCTGTGTAACAATAGCACCGAGAGGTCCTGGTGCCTTCTCATTATTCCCAAGGTAATAGTGACCAGCTGAGGCTAGATCCAGTCTGGTGTAATTTAAGAAACCCCTGAGCTAGATTTTGCAGACTTGTCCTTTTAGAATAGTCCTAATTTAGATTTATCCACTTTGAATAGAAATGAGGAGATAAGACAAGCAGTTTCTTGGTTAACACTTAGTGATTTTTTTTTTAAGCATGTGATCTTTACATCCACAGGTTATTCTAGGTCTTTCCTCAGTTTGGTTGGTTTTATAGCATGAGACAGGAATTCTGATGTAACATGCATTTGCCCTGGACTCAATATATTTTGTTTTTACTGATGGTGAATTTCAGTGCAGTGACATGATGGCAAAATGGCATGGAAATTCAGTTCTCAGTTTTTTGCTTGTGTGTGTGTTTTTTTTGTTGTTGTTGGTAGCAAATTTTGGAAATGGCAACCAGCAGGTTTATTAGTTTGAGCTTTTGCCACAACTTGGCGTTATGACATTATATGTCAATGCTTACCTTGATACTGAGCTCCACCTTTTCATAACAGATAAAAGTTCAGATCCTTGGCCAGTGAGACAAGGTAAAGATTACCAGAGTTTGTGGATGGGGTGGGGAAAGCTCATGGGTATTGTGGTAGTTTTCTGCAGTGTTCCCTATTCTCCACTTAGGGCAATTGAGTCAGCTGTTGTCTTTATAAAGATTACTTGATCTTTGTTCACTTCTTCAAACTCTTTTTTTTTTTTAACTCTTTCTTTTGAAACTGCACAGAGGAATTTCTTGGGTTGTAAAAAGTCACACAACATTAATAACATTTATCTACCAATTATTTTATGCCAGGTATTTTGATGAGTATTTTATGTGCTTTATCTCATTGTCTATAACAATCTAATGAAGTACAGTCATCTCCATTAAATATTTCCATTTTATAGATGAGGAAACATTCAGTAACTTTCCCAAGGTCACACCGCAAGTGAATATTGAGTCAGAATTTGAATCTGGGAACTCTGATCTGAGAGCTTCCACTAGTACACTGTACTCCTTTCTTTCAAAGCCACTTTCCTTTTGAGAGCCCAGCGGGGCACAAAGACCCAGCATTTTTGTCTTTGTCCTGGTACACGGGTTCTGTTTAAAGATTAAAAGAAAGGATGACAAGAAAAAAAAGCTCACTTTAGCTTTTAGACAATACACACCTACTATTTAAAGTTAATGATAAAGAGACTTAAAAAAACCGTGTTTAGCAGGCTAAATATGGAAAATGAGTGGAGTTTTTTGGATTACATAGTGTATTTTGTGAGCATAATACACAGAATTTATGTGGAGTGGCTTGCATAATGTTTTTAGAGACAGATGAATAGACCAGGTATTCATAACCTTTTACAGTGAAAATTGCAGCCTCTGCGGGCTCCTGGTGTTACCAGTCTGGAAATGCCCTCGCTGTGCCCTAGGGCTATAGGGCACAACTAGTTAATCTGTTAGTTATACTCTGTCAGGTTAGCTCTCTTGAGGATGCTGTACATTGATTCCTTAGTTTCTTCCCCTTGGAATAATGAACTATTACTAGACCTTTACTAGTAAATGACAAAAGTATGAGTTCGGAGAGCAGTTACAGACCAGAATACTGGAGTTTGGGTTTGAATTTCACTGGTAGCTAGTATTTACAGAACTTTGAGCAAGTTATTTTACTTCTCTGTGCCTCAGTTCCTCATCCATGAATGAGGGGAAATAGTTATAATGCTGATCTTAAAGGATTGTTGTAAGGATTGAATGAGTTTTAGTGTATTAAATGGTTAGGGATGGATCTATTTATAGTAAGTACTTCCTAAGTATTAAATGAATATTAATCTTATGAACATAACGGGTTTGGGGGGGTGGAGTTGAAGCAAAATATAACCACTCACAGCCTTGAGAGGTTCATAGGCATGCCTGGTGTCAGTTGGGATGATACAACAGTTGTTTTAAGGAGTTCCTGTTGGGGCCAGGAAGTGGAGTACATCAAGAAGAGTGATAGGACCTCAGATCTAGTGCTTGGAAACAGGATGGTGCCTGCTCTTCTTAGCTGCTCAGCCCAGACTGTTCTGTCTGTTGCTCTATTGAGTGAAGGAAACAAAAGCCCACCTCTTTTGGGGGTGGGGGAAAGAGCCCAAGCAAGGGTGGTAACTGTGCTTCCTCTTCAAGGTGGTGCTGGACCAAGCAGCCTATCTGAAGATCATGTGGGACTGCTAATTACCTGCTGCTGCCTTTTTGTGCTTTCAAGCCTGTTTTGTTCACTCCGCATTGTTGCAGTACTCACGCCTGGTCCTTATATTTTCTGTTGCAGTAGCATATTATAGATTTTCCCTGCTGTCCAAAAGTAGAACATTCATAGTTGGTATAATTTGATAGGATATTTTTGGGGTCTGAGAATGCTGTTGCCATTAACTTATATGAGAAAAAAATGGAGTGTTCGCAGATCTAAAAAGAAGTTAGTAGGGCCTCCCTGGTGGTGTAAGCTGTTAAGTCACAGCACTGTGAAGCTCTCTGCAGCCACTGCAGCACCATCCCTGGCCAGGGAGCTGACCCACATGAAGCAGCAGAACTCTCTTGTCTTGCCCATTGCTTCCCCCAGCAGTGTACTTAAGTAGATCTGCCTGTTCTGCTCCCCACGCTGTCACCTTTTAGAGGTGAAACCTCCCCTCTCCCCCCCCACTTCTGGCCTACACTCCAGTTCTTGTGTGCATAAATAAATAAAAACCTTTAAAGAAAAAAAAAGCTAGTAAATAGGAACATTCTACTTTTGGATAGTGGGGAAAACCAGTATCTCTCAAGGCATGGTTCTAGAAGAATACTTCAGTAAGCCCATAACCAATTTTACACCCCCCCCCAAAGAATTCCATAGTAAAAGGAAGTAAGTTTCTTATTGTAGGATTTCTGTAAACCTTTACTTGTGGTGGCTTGTGAAATTTTCACGTCAGAGAAACTGATACTGGGGTTTTCAAACCTATTTGACTACAAATAGGTTTCACCCCCTGAGAATTCATGGGGTCTTCTCTGGGGAGTGGGGCAGTGGGCTCTGGAGTTGGGACTAGAGTTAAAATTTCTAAAGGAATATAGAGGTTTGGGGGTTATTAAACTGAATTTACTTTTTGAGTACCTGTAATGTACCAACTTTATTAGGTATTTGGCCCCATGAGAAGTTAAAAAACAGTTCATACAGCTAGTAAAAGGTATAGGCAAAATTCATCAAACCATATCAGTTTGAATTTGCCAAGTACCATGCTGATAATATCCACCATTTTTAGAAATTTCTATTTGTAAGATCATTTTGATACTTCTTTAGGATAATATCTAGGTTGAAAGTCAGTGACCTTTTGCCCTTTGTGTTGCACAGATATTAGGGAGTGGTTATCCAAGGAGCCTTTATAGCTCTCAGGCAGAAAAGGAAAAAAGAGTGGGAATTAAATGGGAAAGGCAAAAGAGGAAGCGCTCTAGATTAAAAAGAAGCTGATAATGGAACCATGGTAGTGGTACCCACACTAGAGATGACCTGGCCTGTTTGAGCCCTCAGAGCTCATGAATATTCTTCATAAACCTATGGTTATTATGTTACAAATGGGGTTATAAAGACTGATGTAACCTGACAACGGAAATGCTTAGAAATAATGAGTATGTCCAGAAACTCAAAAGACTTTCTAACTTCTTGCACTGATTTGGATTTGTTAGATCATAACGGCATGTTCAGAATCCAGCATAGATTTGATGTAGAATCAATTAGTGAGGTTTTCCAAGTCCCAGCTATGAGAACCCCGCAAGTTCTATTCTCTAGACAGACAGACTGACTCTGTCTCCTTCCTTTCCCGCCCTTCAATTTCCTGCTTTTGGTGTTCGTGGTTGGAAGGAGATGAACTGGGGAAAAGAAGCCAGACCACATAGCT